CACTAAGTAACTAATGAAACTTTTAAATGCAATGCTTCTCTGTTTATTGTTTTTCATGGAAACGATTGTGAAAGTTAAGAAAACATATAGCACTTAATTTTTTTTTAATGAAAACTAAGTATATAGGGAAGGGGCCATTGATTTAGTATCTCTTGACCAAATCCATATAATAATTTTCATAGAAAATTGAATTATTATTTTAATATTCTGGTGGAATAATGACCTTATAGGCATAACTTTATATATTTTCATTTGCAAATCTAGTAGCACAGGAGATGATAATAATTATTTCTTTTCTACTATCTGTGCAATTAGGGCACGTCGCATGAATGAATTAGTTGAGTGGTCCAACATAGGACACTTTACACAGACATAATGTATAAATCTTGATGATTTTTTTCACTTAAACTTTTAACCAGAAATAAAAATTCATTAAAATTACCAACATAAATCATTAATTTATTTTAAAAATGCCAACAGGCTATATCACAAATAGCGTCTAATGTTTAAAAAAAAATCAAATACCATTGCCCCAGGCGGTTTGGCTCAGTGGATAGAGAGTCAGCCTACAGATTGAAGGGTCCCAGGTTTGATTCCTGCCAAGGGCACATGCCTGGGTTGTGGGCTCAATCCCCAGTGTGGATTGTGCAGGAGGCAGCCAATCAATGATTCTCTCTCATCATTGATGTTTCTATCTATCTCTCCCTCTTCCTTTCTCTCTGAAATAAACAAAAATAAAAATAATTTAAAAATAAAATACCATTATTTTTTTTTGCTTTAATTTTTTTCTTATGAGATTAAGTTCTAATTTTATCTCATTTATGATATATTGGGTATCTAGTAGTACAGGAAATTATGCCTCACTTTTTCTTGACTTGTAACCCCAGACTCTTGTTCAGAATTTGTTAAAGGAACAACTGTAAATTCTGCGAATAAATACCATGTTTCCCACTGCAATTGTAGCACACTGTGTTAGTTCGCTAGGGCCGCTGTACCAAAGTACTACCACTGGGTGGCTAAAACAACAGAAGTTTGTTGTCTCACTGTTCCTGAAGCTACAAGTCTGAGGTCCAGATGACAGCAGGCCATGCTCCCTCCTAACTCACTAGGAAAGGATATGTTCAAAGCCTCTCCTCTAGCTGCTGGTGGTTTGCTAGATATGCTTGACTCCCCTTGGCTTGTGGAAGTATCACTCCAATCTCTGCCTCCATATTCACATATACTTTACCGTGTGTGTGTGTGTGTGTGTGTGTGTGTGTGTCTTCAAATTTATCATTTTTATAAAAATACCAGTCTTGCCGGATTAGGGGCCCACTCTACTCCAGAATGATCTCATCTAAACCAATTACATCTACAGTGACCTTAATTCCAGGTCATTGTGCTGGAATTTAAAACTCAAACATATAAAATTTCAGGGGAAATAATTCAACTCGTCACACACATTTTAATCGTTCTTATTTCTTGATGACTTATATGTTTTAAATGAAAAAGAAAGCTTTTTTTCCCTCTAATTTAAATCCTTCCCAAAGCACCAGAAGTTCTTATAATTTTCCCATCTGAACTTTAAATTAATTAGAGTGTAGATAATTTTCTTTGGGCCTGAAACTCCCTTATTAATTCTCTTTGGTTAAAAAATAAAATAAAAAAAAAATTCACTGGAGCAAGAGATTTGTTTTCCATCCTGCTGTTTATCTCTCCTGCTGCTATCTCCTGGGGCAAGTTGACTTTTTCTTGCTCTGTGCCATGCATATACCCCTGCTCCTTTCAACCAGCTATCTGTTACTCAGAGTGGCATCCTGATGCCTTCAGATGCCACCAAAGTACAGTGAGAAAGGCGATTTGCTGTTCCTTGTTTCACACACAAATAGAACTGCCGGTACCTGTGAGGCCTGCAGCACAGAGATGTGTGAAGGACTGTAGTGTTGGCCCAGGTAGAGGGCTATGGTATTTTCTTTTCTTCCCTTCAATAGCTTTCCTGCTATTTACTTATGATATAAGTAACCATCACTTAGTCAATACCTCCAGTCTACTTTTCTTTCTTTTCTATCTCCTTTCCTACTTTGTTCTTCCTCCTCCATTTGTCACTCTATTCATGCTTCTCAGCTTTCACTTAACAAGGCTGGGTTTTATAGACACCTCAAGCCAAGCAGAGCGCTCTTTGTCCTTCATGCGGTGATCCAGCTCATCGCCATCAATGAGGTGTGATCTTGTACTGTTTCTTTTTCTCAGCTTTCTCCATGAATGATTGCTTGGGGACTATTTTAAGACGTTAAAAATGATTTAGACTTAAATCACTATTGCAAAACCAGAGCGAGTTTCAAAAGCTTGGGATTGTATGTGTGGCTTCTTAATGGCCATTTTTTCACAACATTCTATCCTGTTTTCTCTTTTCTTGAATCTTAGTCATCCCTATATGCGAGGTATTATTAGCATTTTTTTCCTATCAGGTCAAATATTTTACTGGTGATATTTTATAACATTTTATCCACTGTTATAGTCTGACCAGGGAAATCACTACAGATTTTAATTAGTTTTAGTGAGGTACCAATGAAAATGTCTCACAAATCAACATTTTTTTCTGTAAATATCTACCTACTGGTATTCTCTAAAGAAGTTGGAGAGATGAATATTGGAGCAAGTGTCTAATATTCTATAATAGTAATAATTATACTTAGTAGTGAAAGAGATAGTTTACATATCTTTAGCTTTGATAAGTGTAATAAAACCAGAACATGTAGTGCTAGAATCTGAAAATTCATGGTACACCCAAACAAGGCTTCTAAGAATGGACTAGCACTGAGGCAAAAAGACTTTGTGGGGTTTTTTTGTTTTGTTTTGTTTTGTTTTATTTTGTTTTGCTTTTAATTTTGAAATCATAGATTCACATGCAGTCATGAGAAATGACATGGAGAGATTCCTTATGCTTAACTCAGTCTTTCCCAATGGCAACATATTGCATAACTATAAAATGATATTAATATTAGTGGATGTTCTCTGTGTCCCCGTGGCTGTCCATAGAATTGTGCTTTTTGGGGCAATGCTGGAATAAGAATTTCCAGAGGCCCCCACGGAAGGATGAGGTATCTTAGAAAGTTTTATTTCTGTGGAATTAAACCTCCAAACATCCAATCTCTGGCTTTTTTTCACTGAATATAATTCTCTGAAGATCCATTTCAGTTGTCACACATATTAATAGTTTATTTATTTTTGTTGCTAAGTATTTTTTGATAGTATGAATGTACCACAATTTGCTTAATCGTTTCCCCATTGAAGGCTACCTGGGTTGTTTTAATTTGGGAGCTACTGTGAATGATGTAACTATGAGTATTTGTAAACAGGTTTTTATGTGAACATATATTTTTATTACTTTAATATGAATGCCCAAGAGTACAACTTGCTGGGTTGTATGGTAAATGTATGTTCAGTTTTACAAGAATCTGCTAAACTTACATTTCCAGCAGTATATGAGTGACCTAGTTTCTCAGCATTCTCACCAGCATTTGGTGTTGCAATTGTATTTATTAACCATAATTAGAGGTTTCTTTTAGAAATAACCTTTTCTGGTTATGCCTAATTACTAATTATATTTCTGCTTAGAATATCAATGTAACAATACTATTTAGCCTATTATAGAATCATAGTATATTATTAAAAGTCATACATTTTTGGTCTGCTAATAAGAATTTTTAGTTGCACTTCTCATCCTAATTCTTTTAAGTTCTCTAGGATCCCTCATAGGCAAAGGAGAAGCTTTGTTTAAAGTTCTGTTGGAATTTAGAATCTTAATAGGTCTGTCATAACTACATATTTGTAGTATAATTACAAAAATTAAAGACTGACAATTGTCAGTACTTCCATAGTCAAGTACCAAAATGAATGCAAAATTTTACAGAGGCTTACTTGATTGTGGAAATATTTTTGTTTGATATAAAACCTCTGTTAGTAGGTAGAATTTTCTAGTGTGGCAAATTAAATATCAAGTATGCACTTGTAGATGACTCATCAAATACATGTTATAAATAAATGAGAGCTCTTAACCACTAATTCTACAGTGAAGCTGTATTGCTCTTACTACATAGTTGTCATGTTACACTTAGATCAGTTTTATTTGGGAATAACTGGATATTAGATTGATTTATCCAACTATTCAAATAATGTATGTACTTGTAGATGGCTCATCAAATATATGTTATAAATAAATGAGAGTTCTTAACCACTAATTCTATAGTGAAGTGGTATTGCCCTTAATAGATGGTTGTCATGATACACTTAGATCAGTTTTATTTGGGAATAACTGGATAATAGATTATTTTTTCTAACCATTCAAATAATGTTTGAAAGATGTAAACATAAAATAGCATAATAGACCCCAAAAAGTAGTACCACAATATAATATTTAAAGCTTATAAATACTTTAAAATGCATTTTAATCACCAAAAAGTTAGCATGGTAGAAATATCCTGATACCCATTGTGTAAAGATAATTATATTGGTACTGTGTAGAAGAGACTAAAAGAATGATAACTGAACATGGGAACCAGTTAGGAGTCTCATTAACCGTCCATGTCTGAAATAAAAAGAGCATGAGAGACAGAAATGATTTGAATGGGCTGTTTTATGGTATTAATAATTTAATGTCAATTCAACCACCTTCCAAAACCATCCCACCTCTTGGTTTCTGAGCAGTCATGTAACAGGCAATATACTCTCATCTCAGCTTTGACTTTGCCCACAATTAACACCGATTTGACTTTTATACATCAATCCAACCCAAACCTAATTGTAATAAACCTAGTTATCAGCACAGAGAGTCATATTCTATTTTGGACTCAGGAAAATAAATTAAGGAATATGTTTGGCCAATACATCTAAGAATTAAATTTAGCAGGGCAAATCCATTATGGTTCTCCATAGATATCTCAATATAACTCTTTCTGTGAGCAAATTACTTACATGCTGAATGCCATAACATACTAAAATTTGTTTTCCTGAATGCACAGGTACCTCTGTTCTGCAGGTGACAGCTACTGATGCAGATGACCCTACCTATGGAAACAGTGCCCGGGTGGTTTACAGTATTCTCCAGGGACAGCCCTACTTCTCCGTAGATCCTAAAACAGGTTAGTGCATTTATGTATGATTTGTGTGCAGGTGCATGTACAATGAAAGAAAACAATGTTTTAATAGTTGACCCTTGAACAATGTGAGCTGAATTATGCAGATTCACTTAGCTGTGTGTTGTTTGTTTGTTTTTTCATTGTTTACGTATAGTACTATAAATGTACTTAATTTCTTATTTTCTTAATGACAATTTTTTGTCTCTAGTATACTTCATATAAGAATATAGTATATGACACATTTAACATACAAAATAAGTGTCAAGCAACTGTTTATATTATCACTAAGACTTCTGGTTGACAGTAGGCTATTAGTAGCTACGTTTTGGGAGAGTCAAGAGTTATCACATATTTTTATAGTGTGGGGGAATCAACACCTCTAACCCTTGCTTTGATCAAGGGTTACCTGTATTTTTGTGTATTCTTCTATATCTGACATTGTTATTGTAACACATTTGAAAATGCCCTCTCTTTTCAAAAATAAAGTGATTGGATAATTGAAGATAAATTAACTCTTTCCTCAGGATTTTTAATATCCAATATCCATGCCTATACCAGTAAAAAGCTCCTTATATTAGCTTATTCCTATAACAGTTAGTGAAATACTCTCTCCTTAAAACAAACGAGGCATTATGGGAAATGAGATTTTCAAGTTTAATGTTTGTTTTATTTAGATATTAGTTTAATTCTTTGCAAAAGAAGGTAAATGACTTATTTTGATTATTTTATATTTGTCACACAAGTTGCTGTATATTACATTGGAGGATTGTATTGAACTGACATATTTTCTTAAAGAGAAAGAGTTCTCAGCCCTTAAATATTGTACAAATTATGAGAAATTAACTGAGAATAAATCCAAAGACATATCAACATTTTTTCAAGAAAACATGAATCTGCCTTTTTCCTCTCTATTTTTCTGGCCAAAACAATCATATGCTATCATATCACTTGATGTGATGCCAAAATGGAAGTGAAGGATATTCAATAATGCATTATAGGGTTATGTTGCAACAACACAATCTAAAAACCACTAAAAGCTCTGGCCTCATTGACAATTTGTTAATATAAACTTGGCTAAATACAAAACTTATTTTTAATGTAGACAGCTATACAATACTTGTAAGTCTCAAGTTTACTAATAATTTCAAGGATATACCAATCACGAGACACAGATGAAGCAAGGAGAGAGACCCAGGGAGGGCCACCTTTGATCATAAATACCACTATATATATATAATTATAATATATATAATTATAATATATATATATATAATTATACTATATATTAATCTGGCAATCAATCAAAATTGTGGGGCAGAAATATCTATACATATGTTTAAACATTTTTAATCTGGTATGGAGGTTTGGAATTAGTTAAATATATTTGTTTTATTAAAATATATGTTCCCTATAACATTGTGTAAATTTAAGGTGTTTGACATGAATTTGATTATTTCTATATTGTAATAGGATTGCCATTGTATTATAGTGATAGAGAAATCTTAAGACATCTCATTAACATTACTGTTGTTCATTTTATCTATTTTCCCAATAATCGTGCTTGTTTTATATAAGAAAGAAATACATTTTTCACTTTAAATATGCATCTCTCTAAAGGAAAGAAACAAGAAAACTGTGTTCCAATTACCTTGTTTAGTATTGCACACACATACACACACATACACACACTTACTTGCAGGCACACTCACGCATAAATATGCAAACACACACATGGGCTTTAGCCCACTGATTTTCAACCAGTGTGATATCTTTAAGAATATTTTTAAAATGCAGCACCTGACTATGGGGACAATGACCTCTTTTCCCTAAGATTGTCAAACAGAAAACTGACAACAGCCAACACAACAATAGCCCCCTAGTGTGAATGAATTAAAACTATACCTATTTTTGTCAGATAAGCAAAAAATATTTGTTTTGGTGTGCCACAAAATTTTAGTAATTAGTTTGTGTGTGCCATGAGGTGAAAAGGGTAAAAAAAATATTGCTTTAGCTCATTAGCTATCCTATACATAGACAAATGTTTATTTTTAAAAAATATTACAGTTACTTAAAATAATAATAAAATCCTATATGAATTTTAAATAATTTCTATGTACTTTTTGAATTTTTTAAAAAGCAAATGCTAATTTTGTGTGTGTATGTGTGTCTGAATGTCTATTTGAATGTGTGCACATGTTGGGTATGTGTGTGTTCTGATATATACTTTGGATACGGTAGGCTTCTGAGGACAAGATTTGACTAGTGCTGTACTCTGCTGTAATTTGTGCATTAGTGAAGCAAATGTATCTGTAACACAATATTTAAATAAATATTGCAGTTGGTTATACATATTTATAGGTTAATTAAGTACTTCATTAAACAAAAATATTATTTATAACTTAAAATAGGCTCTGCTTACATACTGCTCTATGAAATTATCTTGGCTCTTACATTGTCTTTGCTCTTTTCTTTAAGCACAATAATTCACTGTGCGAAATGTATGCCTGCATGTTGATGTTTTAATTTCAATATTATAGTGGTTGAAGTTTCATAGGAAACTGTGGATATAAAGATTCTTTAAATATGCAATGTCTTAGTTGTTTGTGCTAATAGGTTTTATAACCTAGAATGCTCATTATTGTCTCTAAAGTTAAGACTTCTTTGGTAATTTAAACTTATCATAAAAAGACCTAATACCATGTAATTACACATCTTCAGAAGTAAAGAATTTAGTGGAAGTCATGCATAAAATAACTTGAATAAAGTACAAATAAACATACTAAAAACTTAACAGTTGCTATGGAAGGGATGTTATATAAGAAATGTTGGCATATAGTTACTTATAAATGTACATTTTAATAGTAACAATTCCATTCTGTCCTCTTATTTGGCATGGTTATATTATAACACGTTTCCAATTACTTTCAATAAATAACAATTATAATAAAGCAGAACTTTTGTGCTCATATAGTGCTGTGAGTGGTTATGGTTAAGATCAGGACTTTGGGCTGTATTATTTTATTATATTAAAAGGGACAGTTTGGTACTCACAATGACTTTCTAATGCTGAGCTTCCTATGAGGCCTTGTTTCCTATTTTATAAACAATCTAAGAATCACTGCATCCATGCATTTGAATTATGTGACCCTAGAGTAGCTATACTATACATAATTGATTTAATAAGTTCTGTAATGTTTGACACTGAAACCCCATTAGTCAATATGAAACAAATCTTGTGAATAATTTATTGTTTTGAATAATCTTTGTAACTGTTTTATGTCATTTGTTTAGTGTATAACAATGAAAGTAATGCTATCTTAATTACCATTTTTAAGATGCAGAAGACAATGAAAGAATAAACTATAGGAGATGACAATGGGATATAAAAGATATAAATCATTGCTACCCAGATTTATGCAAAATCATGTTAATGTATAGTTAATGAGGTTAATTTGTTTGAATATACGATTTTAATTCAGCTAGGAACACATCAGAGTTATCAACAAAAGGAGCCGTTTTCATGTTTATGAACACTGCTAACCCTAAACAAGGCATTTTTAGGAAGACAGCCTAGTGCAGAAGTCATATGTATGAATAGGTTAGAGAACAAAAATCAAGAGAAATCTGGGCTGATAGGTGTTTATTAGTGCAACTCAAATCTTAGTCCTAGTCCCATTAATCCAGTGCTAACTTTATTAAAAATGAATCAAGATTTTCAGAGTTTCTATGCCTTTTTATAAACTATGCAGTTTCTCTTAGGTAGCAATAGCAGAAGCTGAATGATCGAGGTGCTACAAAAAGAAAGTATGTTTTCTGGAGTAGGTCAAAGACAAGAACAGAAATCTATTCTGTGTCTTTCTAGGGTCTTAGAAACAGAATGGGGGATTCACAAGGAGCAGTTGTGCAGTTTTTATTATTTTTAAAAATATATTTTTTTATTGATTTTAGTGAGGGAGAGAGAGAAATAAATATCAATGATGAGAGAGAATCATTGATTGGCTGCCTCCTGCATGGACCCCCGCTGAGGATTGAGTTTGAAACCTGGGCATGTACCCTGACCTGGAATCCAATGGTAAGCTCCTGGTTCAGAGGTCTCTGCTCAAGCTCAACCACTGAGCTATGCCTGCTGGGCAGTTGTGCAGTTTTACATTATGAATGCAAGTCTGTTTATGGTCATGTCATTTATAGCCATCTGATGATTTTCTACTCAAGTTATTTTATGTCAACAACATATGAATGCTTCGTTATTTTAGTTAGTGCATAGATGTTAAGTTTGTGCTTATGTTGCACAGATTGGATGAATCTTCCTGATGGTCAATTCTGGAAATCTATAATCTGGGATAAAAACCTGATGTCAGGGAAAACAGAAGAATAAAGTGGTTTATAAAATTCTATTTAAGCTTTATTTACAATTTTTATAATCTAACAATAGTGAAGACCAGATATTTTGACCATAATGTGAAACAATAAGTGAGGCTCTAACAGGTTTGGCTCAGGGAATAGAGCGTTGGCCTGTGGACTGAAGAGTACCAGTTTCAATTCCAGTCAAGGACACATGCCTGGGTTGTGGGCTTGGTCCCCATTGGGAAGCATGCAGGAGGCAGCTAATCCATTCTTCCTCATCATTGATGTTTCTGTTTCTCTCTGAAATCAATAGAATAAAAAGTATATTTTAAAAAAGAGTAAGTGAGAATAGTCAATAATGGTGTCAATGTATCTGCATAAATAATACTTTAAATAATATAGTTATTTTTAGCTAACACCTGTCTTCTTCCATCACCATTTATCACCTCTTTACCCTCCCTACCTCTCCTTACCCCCATTTCCCTATTAGGTTTTTCTTATTTTTGCTTTTTTCTTAAACCCTTTACCTTTTGAAAAATATGTATTTTTATTGATTTCAGAGAGGAAGAGAGAGGGAGAAAGAGAGAGAGAAACATCAATGATGAGAGAGAATCATTGATTGGCTGCCTCCTGCACATGCCACATTGAGGATTAAGCCC